AACTGTATTTGTAGCTTCTTATTGGGTTTTAGTCTAGCAATCTCTTTACATTTGTTTCTTCCTCTCTTTTTGCATTAGCTGCTTGCTTCTTAGTAGTAGATTGGTCACCACCTTCAAAGAAAATAATGTCTTTTTAAAAATTAATAGTTTCAAAAGATAACGATAAAGCAAAAGTACAAATCTATATCTATACCTAAGTAATAGCATATCACTGACATGGGAAAAATAAACAAAGTGAACTCAAAAAAGGTATTAAAAATTTAGGTATTACCCCTTGCATCTCCTTGAAATGTTGTAGGTTCCTCTGTTCCATTGTCATTTCCATCAACTTGAAAGTTCAGCTCGTTGTCAAGGCCATCAAGAGTTTCATAGCCTTCTTGATAAAGCATATCTTGATCTTCATGTGATGTATATTGTATCTCACCATCAGCATCAACATCATCATCATCATTGATATTCTCATTACATGACTCAGAAAATGAATCATGATCATCTATATTAGTATTACCATTAAACTGAGCACAGGGAGTAACTAGTGGATTAAAGGAAGCTCTTACGTTTCTATCAGCATTAGGGGAAGTGGTTGGAGGTCTATCATGAGTAAAAGGGCGTTTATTTGATGATAAAGGGCCTTTATTAACACAAAGAGAATCATTACCATTACTAGCACGGGGAGTAACTAGTGGATTAAAGGAAGCTCTTACGTTTCTATCAACATTAGGGAAGTGGTTGGAGCTCTAACATGACTAAAAGGAAGTTTATTTGATAATAAAGGGCCTTTATTAACACAAAGAGAATCATACTATTACTAGAACGGATTAAAGGATGTTTACTTCTGTGTAAAATACCAGTACTAGCCCCTATTCCATCAACATTAGCATTAGCATTACTTTTGTTTGGATATAGACCTGCCAACCCCTTTCCACGTCCTTTAGAGAGCATAAGAGGTGGAACATACTCCCTTTTAGATCTTAGCATTGATGCTCTTTGAGTGGATCCATTAGGGACAACCATTATGTTCCTGTTAATTAACATTAAAAGATTAAGATTAGATTTAAACAAACAATTTACTTTAGTATTTCTATCTAGGATATCAATAAAACAAGCATGTCACACTTTAGACAATTAGGGAATACTAATAAGAAAATAATTGTATTAAAAAAAAAAAAAAAAAAAAAAACACACACACACACACACAAAAGACTGCCAGGGGGTTTCTAGTATTGCTCGTGCATAGCACTCCACATCAAAATTTATTTCACCTGTACCTTTACATGTCTGACATAATTTGATACATGTTTGGCATAACCTTCAACAACTTTAAAATAGAGAACATACAAGATCTGCCTATCAACTGTCAGTATTAGAATTATATTCTTTAAGTGGCAGGTGCTTGTGTGTTGCTTGTTGTTTTGCAACCAGGACATTCAAGACAGCAACATAATTTTATTCAGAAAAAACAATAAGTTTTATTCATCCAACATTGGATGCAGGAAAATATTAATAAAAACAAGCACTAGCATCAAAGACAATAACAGAGAACTACACCATTGCCATTTAAATGTTAGTAGGAGATAATTCATGGGCGTATTATTCTTCTAGAAATAAATAAAAACAATGAGAAAAAAGATAATTGACGAGATTATTCTTCTCTTCTCCTCTTCAGAGATAGTTCATCCCCTTTTTTTTGGAAATCGCACTCACAAAAATTGGATCTATACCCATCCGACTTCTATAAATTTCAGCACTTGCAATAGTTGACGAAGTTGCAACATAAGTAGGCTTAAAAAAATTCACCCTGCTGATATGCATCACCTTCCTCAAAATCATTATCCTCCTCACTTGATAAGTTGCGAGGTTGAGTCTTTGACACGATATACCAACCTTTGTTAGTATTGTCAATGGCATAAAAAGCTTGTCTTGCTTGGCTAGCTAAGATATATGGTTCATTAGTCTTTAATTACTTATTGCAATTAACACTAACAATTCCATATTCGTCTTCTTTTACTCCTCTAACCTTATCAAATACGTCCCACCATTTACAACGAAATAACACTACTCGATTTCCTCCTAGATATTGCATTTCAATTATATCAGTTACTACTCCATAATAATCTGTGTTATCATCTTCTTCTCCGGTGTTTCCAATCACAACCACTCCACTATTTTGTGTTCTCAAAGTCTTCTCACGATTTTGTAAGTGAAATCTATACCCATTCACAATATAACCACTAAAAGAGTTACATATTGGGTTGGCCCACGTGATAGTGAAAGGAGATTTTCCATTTCCTTGCTCTTATTATTCACATATAACCGAGCAACCTACCAGAAAGTACAAAAAAAAAGATTATGTATTAATGGCGAACTTGAATCTCAATTATCTTATTATTTGATTAAATTTAAAAGGCTTACTTATTCTTTGAACCACAATTTAAAATTCTCAGTCCTTTTCTCTTCGGATATTCCATTAATTGGACAGGCTTGAGAATATTCTCTAAAATAAAATATAAAAAAAAAGTTGATGATGAAACTATAGCGATGGAAAAAAAGTAAAGAAACTTAATTAAGGCTAAGAGTCTTACTCAAGGAATGGTTGAACCTCATCACAATTCTTCAAAATATAATTATGAGCTTGATCTAACTCAGACTTTGGAACATCGATGACAGTTGGAGCTCCTAAGCCTCGGCCAGGATGACTAAATATAGGCAAGGCCTCATCATCACCATTTGCATTTTCATAATTTTGCTCTAGACGATTAAATCTAGTTTCAATATTCTGCATGTACCTTAGCAAAGAGTCATGCACTCATCTGCTAAATAGCCCTCTGCAATTGAAGCCTCTGGACGAGCCCTATTTCTTATGTAAGACTTGAGCTTGTACATATACTTCTCAATAGGATACATCCATCTGAACTGAACCCAACTCTAGCTTCACTAGCTAAGTGAACAGGTAAATGCATCATCACATCAAAGAAAGAAGGAGGAAACAACTTTTCTAATTTGCAAAGGGTGATAGGAATTTGAGACTCTAGTTGTTTCAACTCTTCCACATTGATTACTTTAGCACATAAAATAGTAAAATACCTTGACATCTCAATTAGTGCTTCGCGTACAAGTGGAGTTAGTAGGCCACGCATTGCTACAGGAAGAAGATGTTCGAGTATAACATGGTAATCATGACTCTTCAACCCTGAAATTTTAGCCTCCTTAGAGTTGACACAATAGGATATATTAGATGAAAAACCATCTGGAACCTTTAATTCTTTCAAAAAATTGCATAAAGTGCGCTTCTCTGTAGAAGAAAAAGTAAAAGGGTTGGAGGCATCTTCCACTTGCCCCCTTCTTTGATTGGATGTAATGTTGGCCTCAATCCCATTTCTTTTAAGTCATGACGAGATTTAATATTGTGTTTTGTCTTCCCTTTCACATACATTAATGTCCCTATAATGCTTTCACTAATGTTTTTTTTCAATATGCATCACATCCAGATTATGTCGTAATTGATGCATCCTCCATTAAGGAAGTTTAAAGAAAATACTTTTTTTATTCCAATTATCCCCCCAAGCTCATGAGATATATTTGTCTTCACTTGTGGATCATTAGACAATATGATATTCTCGAGATCCTCTAGTTGACGAAGAATTTCATCGATCGAACAAGGTTTCGGAGGTAAACCGTGCTCCACCGTACTGTTCCATCAAATGAAGCCTTATCCTTTCGCCATCTATGATTCTTTGGCAAATACACTCGATGGCCCATATAGCATTCCTTACCTCCATGAGATAACCTCTTTGATTGTGTTTCTTTAAGACAACAAGGACATGCTAAATAGCCCTTAGTACTCCAACCTGATAACATTGCATATTCTGGAAAATCATTAATGGTCCACATCAAAGCTGCACGTAGTTGAAAATGATGTTGAGTTGCTGCATCAAAAGTATTTACCCCGGTGGCCCACAAGTCATTCAATTCCTCGATCAAAGGTTGCAAATATATGTCAATTGCGTTACCAAGCCCTTTAGGTCCAGGAATAAGCATTGATAGAATCATATTAGACTGCTTCATACAAAGTTCGGGGGGCAAGTTATAAGGAATAAGAACCACTGACCAAATACTATATGATGTTTTCGAATTTGAAAAGGGTTGAAAACCAACACTAGCGAGGCCTAACCTAACATTTTGAGGATCTGATGCAAAATCGGGAAATTCTTTATCAAATAAATCCCAAGCAGCTCCATCAATAGGGTGTCTCATCGTACCACCTTTCTTCTTTTTACCATGATGCCAAGTCATCAAAGAAGCAGTTTTTGAGCACATGAATAATCGTTGAAGCCTAGGCTTTAGAGGAAAGTATCGAAGGGTTTTCTGAGGTATTTTCTTGCCATTTTTCTTGCACTTGTCCTCACCGTTGTGTTTGTTACTTTTCCATCTTGAAGCACCACACACATTGCATGCATCCAACTTCGCACCATCTTTCTAATATAACATATAGTCATTGATACAAGCATCAATTTTCTCATAAGAAAGCCCCAAATCTTTGATGATCTTCTTTGACTCATAATAAGAATCGGGCAAATTTGATTTTTTGGGCAAAAGCTCTTTCTTAAGGAAATCTAATAGCATGGTAAATGATTCATTACTCCAACGACCAAGAGTTTTGATATGAAGGAGTTTTAAGAGTGCAGACATTCTAGAACTCTTGCAACCTTCATAAACAGGATCTTGCGAATCTTTCAATAAGCTATAAAATTTCTTAGTGTCAGCATTTGGCTCCTCAACATTGTTGACATCAATGGGAGAACTACCATTATTATACTCTGGATAGAAATCCCGTAAGATATTATGTAGCTCATCTTGGTTTTCATGATCTATCCCATCATCCTTATCAGATTCAAGTTGAGGCTCATCTAACCCCTCTACATGATGATACCAAAAGGTATACCTTTTAACTACTCCAAAAACTAGTAGATGTTCTCTTACTTTTTCAAGATTACCAGACTCTCCATTCATACATTGACAACAAGGACAACGTATTGTTGTAATTTTTAATTTTTTAAATGCATAGTCTAAAAAACTATCTACTCCCTCCACATATAATGGGTCATTAACATAATCTTCAATAGTCATCCAATCTTTACTAGGATTCATTTCTACAAACCAAAAAAAAAAATAAAGGAATAAAAAAAGAATAAAATCATTGATGACTAACAACTTTTCAGGTTATTATACTGTAATTTTATGGGCCATTAATGAAAGAAAGTCATCATTTCCATTTATATCATGTAAAAGAAAGCTCAAACCATATACAATGGAAACCTTTATAATTTTATATAAATCCATGCTAATAAGGACAAAAATTCATGTCTGACAGATTTGTTGTATGAATCATATCCATTTCAAAGTTTTTAATGCATAAACATGATGTGGCTTTAGCTAAAACGGTTATACAATATCAAAGTAATTCCAATTATCAATATGCATTGCAACCACAAATCCACTAATTAAATAAGTGCAAGCATCACAGTTGTACATATACTGCTATCAAAACTCAAAAGTGTACTTTAACTGGCATATGTAATGATCCGAAACGTGTATCTCACTTACTCAACCAACACAATACATGCATTTCCTAGTCATTTATTTCTAAACTGCTCTACAATTTATATTAGTTTGATGCCAAGGCAACACAAAATATACATGAACTGAGAAGAAAAACTGAGTGGGTGAAGAATCAAAGGTGATGTCATACTCTGATGGTAAAATATAGAATTAATCAGGCAAAGATGTAGATAACAAGTCCTAGCTCTAACGCATGCAATAGAAATCATTGACTAAAATTTCACCCTTTTCGTCGGCACAATAATAATAAAATAACACTGGTATAACAGAGGGACAGCAGAATTAAGTAGAAAAAAAAATACCTCTGTTTTGGAGGATGAGCCAATAATAAAGGTGTTGGCTAGAGAACCCAAAGGATTAAAAGAGGAGGATGAGCCGGAATTGTTACAAGAAGCACCACCTGTAACCAAATAAAACCAAAAAACTCGGTGTTAAAAATTTGAAAGAAAAAACTCAGAAACTGTGAAGTCCCTTAAAAAAACAAATTCAGTGATAATAAATCCCAATCTTTACAAAGCTAAGATAATTAAATAAAACCCAACATAGTGTTAATTATTAAAAACGAACTGAAGGAAAAACTAAAAGAAAAGCATATACATGCATCTAATATTCACGAAATCGAAACTTTGAAGAAATGAAAATAAAAAAATAAAAAAAAAAAAAACCAAGGAAATCAAACGGAATTACATCAGATTGAATCCATTAAAACATCCAAATTAAATCAGATTGAGAAATAATTATACAATATTACGACAATCAAATGGAAAATCGAAACTAATTGAAAAACAAAACTAAAGTAATTCAATGAAATCTATAATTCAGATTATCAACAAGTTATTGGTAACCCTAAATTAGATTTATTGATTTGAAAGAAGACATTAAACATACCAGAATTATGAGATATTCCTTTCAAATTCGCTGATTTAGAGAAATTTCGAGCCCTAACCGCAAGAATTACGAACCACAAATTGAGAATTGGAGAATAATTGATTTGAGTGTAGAAAACAATTGTGGGTTTTAGTGTGCAGAATAATTAAGGCCAGCGGGAGGAGTGATTTATTTTAGCGCTAGGTGAAATTTTTATCCCGCGTGTGTTAACTCCTATTAACGACAGATCTATGCTTTATTATTTTATTTTATTTTATTTTTCAAATATTAACGATGGGCATAAAATATTTTCTTAACATTTGACAGATAATTTACGAGAAACATTTTATATTTACGTTACAAACCAGAAAAATAGTGCTTTTAACGACGAGATTATGTTTTCATCGTTATTGAATTGTTGTTAAATATTAAAATTCGTGAATCGCTAAACATCGCCCGCAAATTACCATGTAAAGCTCACAAATATGACTTGGTGTGACCATTATGCCCTTTTTCTAAAATTGAAATAATCTCGGTTTAAAAAATGTGGAGCCGTACTGGGTCGCCGGGGGAGACCGGAGGGCAGGCCGGAGATGCGGGGGACGCCGGAGGTACGTCGTCGTCGACGGAAAACGAGGTAAGTCACCGTTTAAATTGACGGTTTACCATCGGAGTGGCTCCGGCGCCTAGGATGGACGCCCAAACCGTAGCCTGGACGTCCAAGCCAGACGCCAGAACCACCAGAGTGGCGTCCAGCCCAGACGCCCAGACCACTAGACTGGCGTCCTGGCCAGGCGCCACTGTACTGGCTGCGGCGGCCCTGCCAGGCGCCAGTCCAGTGGCTGTGGCAGCCCTGGCAGACGCCACCCTCATATATATATTTTTTTTTTTCTTTTTTGATTTTTTTTTTAAAAAAAAAAATCGAAAATGATTTTTTAAAAAAATTCGAAATGGGTTATTTTTAAATTAATTTTGAAAATTCGAAATAAGTTTTTTTAAAATTAAGTTTGAAAATTCGAAATGGTATGTTTTTAAATTTAGTTTGAAAATTCGAATTGGGTTTTTATAAAAATTAAGTTTGATTATACATAATTATGCTTTTTTTTTGTGTTAATTCTGTGTAAATATAGAAATTAAATGTATTATCCGTTAAATGTATTTATTGTAATATATAATTGATGCAGGATTATGGTGGAGACGGAAATGATTACAGTGGGATATTTGGACATGATGATCCATTCGAAGAAGCTCAACAGGCGATTGATTGGGCAAAACAGGTTGCAATTGCAGCTGGATTTTGCTTGGTAGTAGTAACTCATAAATCACAACGGGATGGTAGAATGGATCGCATTTTGAGATGTGACCGTTATCGCAAAAGAGAAGACAGAGATTTTCGTACAGCCACTCGGTTTGATACAAAGCGGAAAGGTTGTGGGTGTGAGTTCAGAGTAAAGGTTCGACAACTACGGAGTCGTGACGGTTGGGAAGTGATTGGTTACTCTAAATGGGGGTATCACAACCATGAGATGATAGTATATGAAGAGGGTCATCGACAGCTGAGCGGCTTAAGTCCTGCTGCGAAACTAGTTGTGAAAGAAATGAGTGATGCTCAAGTCAAGCCTGCTAAAATATTAGCATCTGTGTTAATGAAATTTCCAGAAGACCATCCAAACCGAAGACACATCTACAACGTCAGACAGCAACTCAGGTTTGAACGGTCAGAGGGAAGGAACCCTATACAGCAGCTGCTACACCAGGCACAATCACGTGGTTACCTGTTCTGGTTTGATTCTGATGAAGATACAGCGGAGGTGACTCATCTTTTCCTTGTGCATCCTGATTGTGCTGATATGATCAAGTCTTGGCCATTTGTGAATTTGATCGACTCAACGTACAAGACAAACAAGTACAAGTTCCCACTGGTTGAGATCATGGGGATGACTCCAACGAACCAGAACTTTCTGATTGGTCATGCAATCATCAAGGATGAGACGGCTCCAAGTTATTATTGGGTGTTGGAGAAGCTGAGAAACTACATCGGGCCTAATGTTCATCCAGCAGCCATCGTCAGCGACTGTGAGGGAGGTCTCTTTGCCCCCATAGCAGAGCTGTTTGCAGAATCGAACCACTTATTGTGCACATGGCACATCAACAACTGCGTGAAAGTGAAAGCCTACAACCTTTTCAACAAGAATTTGGAAATGGCAGAGAGATTGGTGAATGGTAAGTGGCGGAAGATCCTACAGGCTACCACAGAGGAAGCGTATGAGCGAGCATTGGCTAACTTCAGGGATTCGTACCAGTGGTGTCCGGCACTGGTGGACTATGTGATGCAGCAATGGGTCCCTCACAGGGAAAAGTTTGTCAAATATTGGACAAACCAGGTACTTCATTTCGGGAACACTACAACATGTAGAGTTGAGAGCGCTCATAGAGCTACCAAGGACTGGATTGATTCATCGACCGCTGCTTTGGATACACTGTTCGATAGACTTAACAAGTCAATTGAAACTCAGAAGAACGGCATCAGGAACTCTCTAGAGGACTCCAGACGACGACATGGTACGATGTATAGCCATTTTATATTTAGGATTCTCCATGGTCGTGTGTCGCACTACTGCTTGGGGTTGATTCTCACTGAGCTGAACAGGATGAGGGACTTGGCTGACGAAGTGTATGCTCGGTGTGGGTGTGCTATTTCAGTAACTCATGGATTACCTTGCGCATGCACCATTCACCGCGTTATTACAGAAGAAAGGGCGTCGTTACATGTTGATCAGGTCCATTTATTCTGGAGGACGCTTGTTATTGGTGAGCATGCAGACACTCAAACGGCCGACCGTGAACAGGAGGAGTTGGAGCAGTTTCGTTCGATGTACGACCGAGTGTCCTCCAGCCATCCTTCTATTATTCGTGACGCTACTCATGTACTTCATGACATGTTCCACACGTCTACCTTAGATTATGAGGAACCCGAAGGAGTTGACCGTCCTCGAGGTCGACAACGGCGGAACAGGAGTGCGTTTGAGTATATCCGTGGTCTTGGTCGTGGTCGTGCTCGTGGTCGGACATCGTCATCTAGTCGTAGTCAATCTTCATCGTCTGTGAATATGCCCCTGAGAACTGGTACGTTTTGGTTGTTTACATTGCACATAGTTTTAAAGTGTTACTCCTGCCTTCTTAACTGTCTATAATTATATGGTGAATAGGAAGAAACGATGTTGATCAGTTTCCGTACAAGGAAAGGATACCTGCGATCATCATGCCGTACTTGGAAGGGTGGAATGATGTAGTCGGAGTGCATAGTCAAGCTTATTATCCTTGTACCACGGTTCTCCCTTGGCGGTCGTGTGAGACTGTCACCACACCGGTCAGAGAGCTAGCTATTGCGTTTCTTGGGTCGTCATACAGACATTTCATCCGACTAGACATGTCATCCGATTTTCCAGTGCCACCGATTATACCTCGGTGGTACAACATTCGCACAGCGAGCGTAGAGGGTTGGGATGCGCTATATCATGAACGGATCCACGAATGGAACACCCTAGCTGCATTTTAGTTTTTCATGTTCACATTCTTCCTATGTAATCTTATTTGTACGTTGCTCTTTTAATGAGAACATTAATCTTTTATATTGTATTGCTTACTGCATTCTATATGTTGCATGGGTAAGTTGCGCGGATCCACGACCGGTTATATCAAAATTTAAAAACAGCAATGATAATATGTTTAAGTTGGAAGCTAAAAGAACAATCTAAAATGTTACAAACTTACAACATCATGTCCAATTTAATAAATTAAAACGATAATATTTAAAGTGCTCTATAAATAAAATGACAAAACCATCAGTAATCCCTCCTCGACGACGACTCCCACTGCGCAAGGGTCTGTTCCAGACTATCAACAACAGCTCTCCCTGTTGCACTCATGCTATCCTTCTCAAGAGAGAGTTTCTGTACGTCCTGCATTATCTTTCCCATCCACTGCATACAACAAAAAACAAAAGATGAAATACAATAACAACATATAAAACTTAATTAAAAGACAACGATAAATATAATATGAGACATACCGCTTCCATGGCAGTAGGCGGTGGCACATAATCATCATCGCTGTGGTCGAGATCTGCGATCAACCTCGGGTGAGAATACCGGTTGAACCATTCCATGTAGTAATGGTCACACATGGGAGGAACCCCAGAGGGCGGCCGCTGAAACTCCGCAGTCCATAAGCGGGCCACCATCGGAAATTGTTCCCACGTCCCGGTTATGATATCCGGCCATTGCACGACGTAGTCCCTCGACGATGCAGGTCGGACCGCCTTCATCGGGCATGCCGGGGGAGGAGGGACAACTTGGACAAATCCAAGCTGGCGAAGACAACGCTGGGCATGTACGCCTCGACAATCTCACGATACTGAATGAGTCCCGTGTACAGGGTCCTGGGTACCCTAACACTAGGGTTCGGGCCGAAAGGCATCCAGTTCACCTGCACATAGTTTTAAAATTTAATAACATGAATATAATATGTGCAAATAATAAAATGTAGAAATAATTTATAAACGTTACCTCTAAGGGGGACAGCCTGTCCAGCAATAACCGTATCGATCGGAGGCGGTCAACGGACTTCTTCTCCGAGCGCGGACTCCACGCACAAGCACGCGGCATCCCCTCATCAATAGGAACCGGGTCACGATGTGGTCGCAATGCAGGAAAGTACTCGTATATCCAGGTCTGCAATAGAGTCAGACACCCAGTGATACCTGCCGCGTCAGCCCGACTCGCAAATCCTAGTTGGCGATACAAATACGCCAACGTAGCCGATCCCTAGGAAAACTGGCCTACACTGTCGGGGTCACACGCCTCTACTATGTCGCGTGGCCTGAGCTTGTTTCCGCCGCTCTTATCCGGAAACAAGGTACATCCGAGGAGTAGAAAAACATAAGCACTCAGCTGTGCGTCGTGCGTCCTACGTGCACTGGGGTACAAACACCGCTGCAACACGGATGCGATCTTCACACCTCCGTGTTCCCAAACACCTAGCGCCTCGGTGTACAGTGCAGCCCTGTCCACCGCCAACAACTCCGCCAGCAAATCTGCCTGATCCGCATCAGCCACAGCACAAAGTCGTTTACCCTCAACACGAATCCCCAGAATGGCCTCGACGTCATGTAACATGATCGTCATCTCACCGAACGGAAGGTGGAAAGAGTTTGTATCCGGCTGCCATCGCTCAATGAAAGTCGTGATCAGCGTACTGTC